ACTGCACTTGTAAAGGTTTCATGCTTATACATTTAATATGCATTTGAACTATATTAAAGTTAACTGAAGTATAACCAATCGCATTCCTATAGTTGTTTAGTGATTCTGCTAAGGGTCAATTTCTGCAGCTTTTCTCGATAACAAAACACGATGAAATTCAATACCAATGAAAACTAAGTAACCAGCGATCCAACAAAAAACTAGTAAGTATGAAATCCAATAAATGATAAAAGAACGACTTAATTAACAAACGAATAAGAGAATAATCGAGTATATACTCTGTGTAAGCGAATACCTAATCTGACCAGAATAACTATCTAACAAATGAAAAACACTCTCGAACCTTTATGTGGATTGCCTTCTTCGAGAATGTATTCGTTGTCGAGAAATTTTGCAGTTGCCTCTGAGATATGTACACGGCCGGCAATACCAGTTGATTCCATTTCATTTGCAAATGTTACATCATTTGAAAATACGTCGAATTTGAATCTTTTCGTTCCAACCATGCCACACATCACCTAAATAACGATCGATCATTGATTCGGTACTTTGACAGCTACTCTAATGATCATGATAATAATAGTCATTATTATAGATGCTAATATCATCATTACTATTATCATCGCTATTTCATTCAATAGATTCCAATTAATTCAATGAATGCTCGAAAGAATGGGATATGAACCATCAATGAACCTTGCCAGTGTGGATTCCAACCCGCATGTTCACTTCCTGACCGCGATCAAGATCAAACTGACGTATAGCAATAATCATTGCCAATCCCATTTCAACACAACATTTCGCATGATCTTGCCTTGGTTCTGGACATCCAGCAACACAATAATAACAATCGCCTTAACATTTTATCATTCAGAAGAATGCTTTTCACTCTCTTTCAGCAATATTTTTACGTAGAATTTCAAGTGAGTTTATCTCAATTTAATGCAAAAGAATCGCTCACTTCAATGAAGAAAGCAATTCAAACAACAATATAATAAAATTGAAAATATAAGCAGATTTCTGAGCAAAACGATCATTGTAAAACCATACCGAGCGTACTGATTTTTTCAAG